GACTTCGGATCGGAAGATTGAGGGTTCGAGTCCCTTCGTGGTCGCTTTCTTTTTCGTTATTAAACAAACTAAATGACCTGCATGGAGATATTTTCACGAATTTTTGGCGGAAATTCCTGTAATTTAACCTGTTGAGATTGTCCTATGTATGTTTGGAAAAGCAAAGCGATTCCGAAAAAAGACATTTTGATGTTTTATCTGACGGATTTCCTGACGTTAAGCATATCCTCCCGACAAATTTACGACTAGACTCACACGCAGTCAGAAAATACAGAGCGTTTTCACATGACGTCACGGCACGGTTCCAAAAATATCAAGCGGAGGCCATGTTGGTGTACCGAACCAATTCTAGCTGTGGGAGTTGATCTCTCTCCTTATGTAAACACTTTCTTTTGTTTCAATAAATTTGCTTGTGTGCTAGCCACGTAAGCTAAAACGCTCTATCACCGGATGTTTTCGACATTAGGAAAATTCATTATGAAACTGAACCTGTGATCTCAAATACACTAACTGCCCCGCAGTCAACGCTTGTTCGGAGAACTTTATTTTAAAAAAAGATCAGGCTTCAAGTGATGTCTATCTTGCTATCGAGGCAACGTTCACATTTCTTAACGAACATAAAATACTCCCAGGAGGTTTCGATGAGCTTTTCCGTCAAAATTTGAGCTCTTTTTGGAAGGGCCGGGGCGCAATTTTATTGGAAGGAAGACAATAATCGTTATATTATTTCAATTTGTCTCAATTGATGTCATAAATATTATGTAAATTAATTTTGAGAGATAGCTTTATATAGCTAAATCAAACACAAACGAATCAAACGTTTCTGTTGGTTTACAAAGCAATGCCCTAAGGCTGAAGGGCATGGGTGGCCAAAGCTTGTCCTGCAAAGAAAATGGCCACTTTAACTGACCAAAAGGCCTCTTTCTGCGACCCACCCCACCCTTCTGGGGTTAGGCCCTGAGGACCCCGCTTGGAATCAGCTGGTAGCCATAGACCTGGTTTGTCTCCCCCAACCCTCCTTGCAGGCAGGCAGGCGGTAAAGTTTTGCCCCAAATTCGACACGGTTTTCATAAACTCAACATAAATATTTAACGGAAATTGTTTTAATTT